AGATCGAAGAATAACTTGGTTGATGCTCTCACAAAAGATATGCCTAAAGATCGATTATTCAAAACAGTGGGGGAAATGAGGTTAAAGACTATATAGACAATTCTTAATTACCATTTACTTACCTTTTATTATGTGTTTTGAATTATCAAATCTTTCTTTTGTTGGCCAAAATGATAAGAACTGTTTATATGTTTCATCGATGTTCATAGTTGCTGATTAATTTGAAAAGGACAAGTTGTCTCATTCCAAACTTGATGAAGATAACTTGAACCTGATTCAAAGGTTCTACATGGGAAACTTGTGTCATTCCAAACTTGATGATACAATCCAATCTGGTTGGACCATCCTTTTGGTTAAATGATCTCATTCCAAATTTGATGCTAGATTATTTGACTTTGAGGAATCAGTAATTGTGACATTCCAAATTGAAACATTGAAATAGTTGTTTGCATAAGAAGCCTATGGGTCATGTTCTTAATTGAAACTTGACATCACATGACTAGGTTATTGTAAGTAACATGACTAGGTTATTGTAAGTAACTTGACTATTGGTTCTGTTCATTGAAACTAGACAATAGTTATTCTCTTACAAATAAACTTAAGTTGATGGCTCTTTGCAAAACAAACTGTTTAGGCCTTGTTCATAATTTATGAAACTGGCTTGATGCTTATAAACATAATATTGTGATGCTTTATGACATTAATATATGTTCTTCATTGCTTGATGATATGATGCTAAGTCCTTTTAGTAGAACTAGACATCTTTGGTAGATTATTCAACTGATTGAATTCATAGTAATATGAAATTCATACTTGATATTCTACAGAGGATGGCATAGATGGAGGAGAGCTTAATGAGAGGGATCTTGACTAAGATAACCTCCTTGATGAATGAATATATCATTTAGAGTAAGTGGAGACTTGACAGTTCATCCGCTATTGCCCATTTTGATGGAGTCCATTTATTTGAGACTTACATTTTGCTATCTTTAATTTATGAACATTGTTGATTGTGAACTGATTTTGAGACTTATTTTGGATGTTAGGATTTTGATGAGTTTAGATTGAATATAAAATTCTAAATATTTACTTTGGTATGTTGGTCTCAAAACAGATTCATGATAATGATGATTTATTTATTTAGATTGAAAATGACTATTGAGTTTAATGTTTTACAGTTAAAACTCTTTGATTGATCCGAGTTAGTTGTCTTGAACTGGATATGAATGATTCATATTTGTTTGAACATTACATTGATCACTCTATTGGATTGTGCTATATGGTGAACATAAGAGGAGATTGTTGGGTATATTAATAATATAATCCAATAGTATATTCACATATAAGCCCAATAGGTGAAAGCATGGTTGTTTGGGTCCATATGGGCTGGAGCCCAATAGCTTGCATTATATCTAGGGTTTCCTAAGCTGGAGGTAACACTGTTGAGCATTCCAAACTTGATATCTCTTGGTGTAATACTTCAAGCATCTCTAAACCCTTCTCTCTCAAACTCAAAACCTCCAACAACAATAACATTGTCCTATGAATTGAGAAACAACGGAAAATTAAAATAGGAAGTCAGATCCAAGCTTGTCCAATTCTGTTGGTATTTCATCCATTAAAGAGTATATTTGCCGCTTTTACCAACATCTTTGCACCTAGTTATTGTATAAGTTAATAGATGACTACAAGTGCTTATACAGTTATACACAAGCCATTAGTGGAAAAATTCTATCTATGCTGTTATAGCACAAGTCCATACTTTGCAGCATGTAATTTATTGTTATGGATTTGTTAAGGTTGTACTTTGCTATTTCTTAAAGAACTTATTGAATAAAAAAAAGAAATACTTAATTTTTTGAAAATTATTGGATAAAGACACATAGACACCATATTATTGACAATTTCTAATACTATGTCATGAACCAAATACACTGGCAATTTTAAATACATATATGAAATTAATTATCCTCAAAACTTAAAGTCGTTAAATGAAAATATATGAACAATTTTATATTCTAACATAAATAAAAAAAATCATTTAGAGTTCAATTATGAATAATTTTATATTCTAACATAAATAACTTAAAGCTAAAGTGTTTTTTCAGTCACTAAAGATAAGTTATCTCCAATAACCACAAAACTATGTCGTTTTGAATTAATAAAGGGTGTTTTTATAATTTTATTTATTTTTTTATCATATAAATTTTATCGAAATACCCTTAATCAATTCCACTAAAATTATGGAAACACCCTTCATTAATTCAAAATGATATAGTTTTGAGCAGTGTTTTAAAACTCGGCTCGGACCGGCCGGGTCGACCCGGGACTCGGTGACCCGGTGGGTTTCCCGGTCCGAGCAGGTAGTTGGACCGCTTCTGCAGTCAACTCGGATTGGACCGGTTGACCCAGCCAAAACCCAGCGACCCGGTTGACCCGGGTTAGACTGGTTATTCCTTTTTTTTTTGGTATTTTTTGTTGTTGATAAGAACTCTTGAATTAAAACATATTCATATTTTATAATGAATATGATTAAAAGTAAGGTGAAAAAAATAAGGTATTTTAGATTAGTGCAGTTCGTTTATGTAATTTAGTTGCATCTTATAATGGTCTTATGAAGTTAAGCGGTGATAAACACTGATGGTCTCATGATCTCATCTCAACGGTAGACACTTTTTTTTATTGTATATTTCATGCATATTATTTGTTATCATGATAACGGTGACACTTTTTTTTAGTGTATATTTCATGCATATTATTTGTTATCATGATAACGGTGACACTTTTTTCTTATTGTATATTTCATACATACTATTTGTTATCATGATTTAACTTATCCGTATCATGTCAAGCACAAAATGTGCATTTAACTTATATTGCATTTTTAATCCAATATTAGGATATGGTCTAGAGCTAAAAGCTTAGAAGTATATAATATTTGCTATCATTGAAAATCAATTTATTTTTTGAAGCTCATTGATAATTTTCTTATGTGAATTTTTATTAATATAAGTAATATTTTTATATTTTTAATATGTGAAGAGTAAATCCGGTTGAACCTAGTTGAACCAGTGACTCAATGACCCAGTACCTCGACCGGTTCGATGACCGATCCGAGCTTTAAAACACTGATTTTGAGGGTCACTGAAGTCTGGAGACAACTTATCTCCAGTGACCGGAGAAATACTTTACCCTTATATATTTTTATATGTGTGAAAAATATTTCTCAAGTCACTTGAGATATATTTAATCTCCGATAATTCCAAAACTACGTCATTTTATTTATTTTCTTATATTAATTGATTCATCTTTGAATTGTTACGATTCTTTTTTTCTCTATCTTCCTTTGTCATCATTGATCCATCTTTTTACGATTATGATTTAATGACCAAAAATAAAGTTATATCAAGTTATATATATATATATATATATATATATGGAGAGAGATCATTTGTATCAAGAGTAAGACTTATCCTAACCGTTGATTTTCGTCCATCCAACGGTTATAATTTAGGAAGTTATATTAATTAATTAATTATTAATTATACTATTAATGACAACCGTTGATTTCCGTCCATCAACGGCTGAGATTTGGAGTAATGGAGTCAAAAGAACCCTCCCCTATATATATATATGAGAAATTTTTTTACGCACACATGTTTAAGGTAGTTTCCATCATTAAAAAATTAAAAAAATACGTAAATCAATATATAAGTGATATGAAAAATATTTTATGCAATAACATAAGAAAGTATTTCCCTTTATATATATACTAACACCTCATTTAATGAGTATTGAGTATAACTCATGTTATTGCTTATTTCATAACATCGGTGAACTATTTATTAAAAATCATATTGTTGGTAATTTAATTTGGAGAAAAAGTGTGTCATTTTAAATACACACCTTGTGTCCTTTCACTCTCACAAAGAGGTGGGACCCACATCTTTAAAACTTTTTCCTCTCACTCTCTTTTCCATAATCTATCTTTTTTTTCCACTTAAAATGATACAATTTTGTGTCATTTAAAATGATACACACTATTTCCATTAATTTTATATAAAAAATCTGTTAGTAATTTTTGCCAGTGTTTTAAACCCGACCCGGGTATCGACCCGGTCAGGATACTGGGTCACTAGTCGGACCGGTGGGTCACTGGTTGGACCGGGTATATATAGATATATAAAAATATATATAAATATAAACATATAAATTCAATTATATTCTTCATATCTAAAATGAATTAAACAAGGTTCATTAAATAAACTCAAAAACAAGAAGCATAATTAAATAAAAATAAATGTTATTACTATGTCAATTTAAATTGCAACTTAGAATTCTCGTAAACATACCTATCAATGACATTGAATTCATATTTTTCAAATTCAACTACATTAAAAATGACATATGTCACATTCTCTTAATTTATTATTCCGCAAATTACTTCAGTATTAAAAGCTGAAATTTGAGGTCATTGTAGAAGAGTATAGTAGCAAATAAAATTACAAATTTTTTTTAAAATGAGTTCTACATATTTTTGACAAGATGAAACAATTTTGGTTTTTTTATTTTAAAAAAATACATGACCTGACTGGGTCACTGGGTCATCGATTTTGACCGGATTTGGCCGATTTTGTCCGAGTTTGATCAGGTCGATGCATAACCGGTCCAATACTTGACCCGAACCGGTCCGATGACCGGTTTATCGAGTTCCAGGTCGACCCGGCTGGATCGGGCCGGGTTTTACAACTATGATTTTTGCCTAATTTAAGATAAAATCTTAAAAACAATTGTTTTATATGAACATTTCATATTTATTAAAAGATTAATTTATCTCAATTATGAGTTTCATCTAATATAAGTTAATTTTAAATAGATGCTGGATGTCGACTTTTATACCCATAATTTGATTTCATTATATCTTTAGCTGTTGTTATTCACTCTGTTTTACCCGCAGCTCTTTTCAAATTTTTAAGAAAAGTAATTTGTGTTGTGGAGGGGTCAAATAGAATAAAAATCAAACGTAGGGCAAATTGAGTTTTAGTGAAGAACTCGCCTTCGTGGGTCCCACTTCGCGAACATCATTTAGGTTGAGCCTTGAGCAAAGCAAAACCATCTCTTGTTTTTCCTCTTCGGCGCATGTGCGCGATTGAGTGAGTTACTGATTCACATAAAGGAGCAGTTTTGAGTAGTTGAAGTTGAATATTCAAATCCAAAGCATCACCTCCCCGATTAAACCCTCATCCTCCATGTCTCTCTGCACCTCGCAATGACAGCTTTACTCATGGCGGTCTCCGCCTTCTACATCCACGCCGCAAGACCAGGTCTTCACCGCGCTGTTGAAATCCTCCTCTCACGGACTGCATCAACTGCAAATGAAACCAGGTGTTGCTGCTGCTATTAAAAATACTTTTAACAATAATAAAAGAATATTAAGTGTTATATGTATTTTCATCATTTATCTTTATTTTTTTTCTCTCTATAATTTACTAATTGGTTTTGTGCAATTCTTTTTATGATGCTAATAGTTGCGCGGGGTCCTTTGAACATAATAATGTTAAAATGAAAACAAATTTTTTTTGTTGATTTAAAAGCTGAATATTTTGTCAAAATAATGCGGTGAGATGTGTATTGAGTGTGTGCGTTTAAGTTGCGCATGTGATGAGTACGCGACTTACAACACAGGACACTTGACAGATTCCTGAGCTTTTGATAAGTCACACATCATTCCATGCACGACTTGAATGCACGTACTCTATACGCGTTTTACTGTATTATTTTGGTGAATTGTTTAACTTTTGAATTAACGAAGAAATATGTTTCTGTTTTCACCTTGAATTTGTGAAAAAGGCCACTTGCTAGGAATATCCACATTTTGATCTAACTCGGAAATTAAGAATGTTTTAATTAAGGAGGGAAAATTGAAATTGTATAAGTTAATAATATCAATTTATAGGTGCTCTATGAATGAAAATCAAGGAATGTTACAATAAAATTAACTAATATATTATGATCCCATAATCTTTTTTAGCTAACAACCAAGCTACTTAACTGATCTTACTCAACAACACTACTAATTACCTGATTACCTAACTACTTGTCTGTCAAACCATCATGATTCATAAATATACAACGGTTGGTAAAGTGACAACCTTTAACGAACATCAATTAAAATGAAAGACATGCATTAATGATAATATAAGAGGAAAAAACGTTATACTATAAATGTTTAGAACCTATCTATGGGAATATGGTATTTTCCTATTGAAACTCTATTCCCATTCTATTTGGTTCTTTGACTTACTTGGGCATACAGCTCCTGCTTCACTTCGGTTGAAGAACTCTAATGTTTTCAAGTTAGTATGACATCAAAAAGATACCATTTCAACAAAAAAATGAACATCCTTCAATAAAGTCCAAGCAAAAATTCAAATTTACATCATTCGTCGAATCACGTCCTTCACCACTCTGTCAAAATCCTCTGTGCATAGGCTGCTACCGCTGCTAAAGAAGACAACGGAGATTATAATGATTGGACCAGGTTCCGCCCTAAGACCAGAGAAATTGAAACATATACCGATTCGAGGAACTAGCAGGAGGGTTGTCAAGGTATGTGAACAAAAACTCGAACTCGCGAGAATTAATATCCGTTTCTGTTTCTTCGGTGTCGGGGTCGAATCTGCTCTATTCTTCATCATCTTTGTCGTCTTTGTTATTAGTGATGGTGCGGGTTGTATTGAGGATTTCAACGAGGCGGCGAAGGTGGTGGATTGACAAATGGTGTGAATGTGAATTTTTACTTGACATTTATCGAATCATATTTCTTTCTCTCTTTTCTTTGTTTTTTTTTGTTGAAAGAGTAGCTTTTAGTGCCCTACCAACTTAGAAATGTCATAATTCTTCTGTCTGTGCGTGTTTATAGAAAATGTTCCATTGCTGAAGTCAGTAAAAGTACCACATAAAACCGAAGTAGAATTTAAAAAGGCCCAGAGATCCTAAACATTTATAATATAAGTATCTTTCCCCCTTGTATTGCCATTAATGTTGATCTTTCATTATAATCATTGTGTATTAATGGTTGTCAATTATTCAACTGTTACATATCTATGCTGCGTGGATCAGCTGGCCAGGGAGGGAAGTAGCTAGGTAACCGGGTAGCTTGGATGGTGAGTTAGGGCAGCATTAAGGTAGCTTTAGTTGCTAGCTAGTTGAGAGGTTGTGGGGGTTAATCTAATTGGTAGGCCCACTATGCATTCCTTATGGTTTTAATTGAAAGGAACAAAGTGAAATATTATTAATCTATTGTGTTGAAAACATATACATTGGGTATTGATGAGACCTTAGGATGTACCATCCCAAAAGTTAGCTCAAAATGTGGGAGTGCCCAAGACCTTATAAACCTCACATTAGTTGCCCATACAACCAATGTGGGACTCCAAGTCCCATACCTTGCAAATGGAACCCAACATTCCACCTCGCTTCCCCAGTGCGTGCCTCTACGCACACTCCACGTGATGGACGCTTTGATACCATTTGATGAGACCTTGAGATGCACCACCCCAAAAGCTAGCTCAAAGGGTGGGAGTGTCCAAAGCCTTATAAACCTCATATTAGTTGCCCATACAACCAATGTCGGACTCCAAGTCCCATACCTTGCAAATGGAACCCAACATTATTTGATGAGACCTTGGGATGCATCACCCCAAAAGCTAGCTCAAAGGGTGAGAGTGCTCAAGGCCTTATAAAGGCCACATTAGTTGCCCATACAACATATGTGGGACTCCAAGTCCCATACCTTGCAAATGGAACCCAACAGGTACATTATTTATAGAGAAGCTAATGGGTCTAAAGAGTAAATTTATCCTAGAATATAATTGGGTTAATAAATGAAACAATCTGGCTAACTAAGGAAACAAATCAGTACAAATATTTTTCATATTTACAATACCCCCCTCAAGTTGAGGAATGAATATTTATGATTCTCAACTTGTTACTTTGTTAGTAATTTCTTGAAATTTGTCGGTAAGAAGCCCTTTGGTCAGAACATACGCTAGTTGACGATTAGAGAGAATACAAGGCATAGTAATCAATCCTTGTCTAGCTTTTCCTTAATGAAGTGGCTGTCAATCTCAATGTGTCTTGTTCGGTCATGTTGAACTGGATATTGAGCTATACAAATGGCTGATTTATTATCAATGAACAGCTTCATAAGTTTGTCATACTTTACTTTGAAATCATCTAGAATAATCTTCAGCCATAATAGTTCACAGATACCTAGAGCCATAGCCTGGAATTCTGCCTCTACACTTGATCGGGCAACTACATTATGCTTCTTACTCCTCCATGTCACTTGGTTGAAACATAGAAACATGCAATATTCGGAAATTGAACAACAATCAATTATAGATCCAGCATATCGCATCAATGTATTGGGACAAGTTCCTTCATTTCTGAAATAATAACCTCCGGGAGTAGCCTTGAGGTACCGAAGAATTCTCTCTATGGCATGCAAGTGTTTTTCCCTTAGATCATGTATGAACTAACTAACTATTCTAACAACAGAGGGCAGATCTGCTCTAGTATGGGCCATGTGATTAGTCATCCCACCAATTGTTGATACTGCACTCTGTCAACTGGAGGGCTCTCCTCATTTCCTAACTTGTGATTTTGCTCAATAGGTGCTTTACACCATCTTTCAAAAGATCAAGTACATATTTCCGTATACAAGTAAAAGTACCTTGGAATAGGCTACCTTAATTCCCAGGAAATATCTTATTTTCCCAAGTTTTTTGACTTCAAATTCAACAGTTAATATTTCTCGCAGAAGTCGTCTCTCAATTGGATCATCACCTGTTATAATGATATTATCTATATAAACAAGAAGAACGGTTAGTTTTCCCTACTAGGAATGTTTGAAAAACAAGGTATGATATCCTTGACTCTTCTTATATCCAAACGAAGCCATGACTTTGGTAAACCTCCCAAATGTTGAAATCCTCCTCTCACCGACTGCATCAACTGCAAATGAAATCAGGTGTTGTTGCTGCTATTAAAAATACTTTTAACACTAATACAAGAATATTAAGTGTTATATGTATTTTCATCATTTACCTTTATTTTTTCTCTCTATAATTTTCTAATTGATTTTATCCCATTTTTTTTTATGATGCTAATAGTTGCGCGGGGTCTTTTGAACATAATAATGTCAAAACGAAAACAAATTTTGTTGTTGATTTAAAAGATGAATATTTTGTCAAAATAATACGGTGAGATGTGTATTGGGTGTGCACGTTTAAGTTGCGTATGGGGTGATGTGTGACTTACAGCACACGACACTTGACAGATTCGTGAGCTTTTGAAAAGTCACGCATCATTCCATGCACGACTTGAACGAACATACTCTATACACATTTTACTGTATTATTTTGGTAAATTGTTTAACTTTTGAATTAATGAAGAAATATGTTTCTCTTTTCACCTTAAATTTGTCAAAAAGGCCACTTGCTAGGAATATCCACATTTTGATCTAACTAGGAAATTAAGAATGTTTTAGTTAAGGAGGGAAAATTGAAATTGTGTAAGTTAATAATATCAATTTATAGGTGCATCTATGAATGAAAAATCATAAGGAATGTTACAATAAAATTAACTAATATAGTATGATCCCATAGTCTTTTTTAGCTAACAACCAATAACTGATCTTACTCAACAACACTACTAATTACCTGATTACCTAACTACATGTCTGTCGAACCGTCATGTGTCATAAATATATAACGGGTGTTAAAGTGACAACCTTTAATGAACATCAATTAAAATGAAAGACATGCATTAATGATAATATAAGAGGAAAATAACGTTATACTATAAATGTTTAGAACCTATGGGAATATGGTATTTTCTTATTGAAACTTTATTCCCATTTTACTTGGTTCTTTGATTGACTTGGGCATACAGCTCCTGCTTCACTGAAGAATTCTAATGTTTTCAGGTTAGTATGACATCAAAAAGATACCATTTCAACAAAAAATGAACATCCTTTGATAAAGTTTAAGCAAAAATTCAAATTCACATCATTTGTCGAATCACATCCTTCACCACTCCGTCGAAATCCTGTGCACAACCCGCTACCGCTGCTGAAGAAGACAATGGAGATGATAGTGATTGGACCAGGTTCAGCCCCAAGACTAGAGAAATTGAAACATATACCGATTTGTGGAGCTATTCGGGAGGGTTGTTGAGGTATGTGGACTAGAACTTGAACTTGCTCGAATTGGTATCCGTTTTTGTTTCTTCAGTGTCGGGGCCGAACTTGCTCCAATCTTCATCATCTTTGTAGTCTTTGTTATTGGTGGCGGTGCGGGTTGCGTTGAGGATTTCAATGAAGCGGCGAAGGTAGTGGGTTGACAAATGGTGTGAATGTCAATTTTTACTTGAAATTTATCGAATCATGTTTCTTTCTTCTTCTTTTGTTGAAATAGTAGCTTTTAGTGCCCTACCAACTTAGATATGTCATAGTTCTCCTGTCTATGTATGTTTATAGAAAGTGCTCCATTGCTGAAGTCAGTAAAAGTACCACGTAAAATAGAAGTAGAATTTAAAAAGGCCCGGAGATCCTAAACATTTATAATATAAGTATCTTTCCCCCTTGTATTGCCATTAATGTTGATCTTTCATTATAATCGTTGTGTATTAATGGTTGTCAACTATTCAACTTTACATATTTATGCTGTGTGGGTCAGCTGGCCAGGGAGGCAAGTAGCTAGGTAACTCGGGAGCTTGGCTGGTGAGTTACGGCAGCATTAAGGTAGCTTTGGTTGCTAGCCAGTTGAGAGGTTGTCCGGGTTAATCTAATTGGTAGGCCCACCATGCATTCCTTATGGTTTTAATTGAAAGGAACAAACTGAAATATTACTAATCTATTGTGCTGAAAATAGCCTCTTTGCAATTATGCAGGATAAGACTGCGTACAAGGATTTCCTCCACCCCACACTTGCTGGTTGGGTTTAACAGGGAGTGGTTTTTATTGTGTTGAAAACATATGCATTGGGTACACTATTTATAACGCCCAACTTAATTCAGTCCTAAGCCTTGGGGAAAGGGTGTAAATTTTGAAAACTTATGGGCAGATTCACATTTTCAGGGAATTAGAGGGGCTGAAGTGTAAATTTAAGAAATGCTAAGTGACAAATGTTTTGGTGAGTTAAGGTGCATCTTAATCAGTTGCACCCGAAAGATTTCAGCCATGTGATTAACATCCTATGACTGCATGTGTAGGAACTATTTTAGTAAGTATAGAATGGGCTGCCTGGGATTAACTTTTGCATTACCTACCTTCTGATGCAAATTCAGAAGTCGCACCGAATCCGTAGTCTAAATAGTCCCCTTTTTGCCTGCCCATCGCCCAACTCCTCATCTTAACAAATCTCAAAGAGCTTCTTTCATCTACACCAAATTTCAACCGAAAAGCTCCCAATTACCCTAGAAATTTCAGAATCGTTGAGAGGGATGAATCGCGTCTCTTTTTTTTTTTTCAATTTGGTTGCGAAGTAAATAGTTGTTGCTGGCTTCTCTCTCTTTGAAGCTTCGGTCACCGTAAAATTATAGCCAAGGAATATAGGAAATGAAAGGTAAAGTTTCTTCTATGTTAACCTATGTTGCACCGACACGCGACACGGGACACAACACGACGCGACACTTCGACACGTTAATTCTAAAAAATGTTAAATTTCGACACGTTAGGACACGTTTTGATATTATATAATATTTTTAATTTATGTAGTGTATATTATATTTAGTATTCAATAATTTAACAAAAAAAAAATCTAAACTTATAATACCCATCAATTTTGCAAAGAAATATAAGATATCCCAAATGTTTATATTAAACTCAATAAAATTGTAATGGTAATCTAACGAATCTAATAGTTGGAATTCAAAATGCAACGCAACGTAATCTTTGAACCTTTTTTGAGTCTTTGGAACGAGTATTGGAGTGTCGGAGTGTCGATGAGTGTCGGACACGACACGTCAGGATTTTTGAAGTGTCGGTGCTTCATAGATGTTAACCTCCCCTTTTGGGCAGATGCAAGAAGAATAAGGCTGGATTTTTAATTCCCTTATCTTTCTTGAGCAGAGAACAAACTTGAAGGGGCTGAACCAAGGAAGGAAAAGAACTAAAGCTCCATTTTACCAAGAGAAGCTTAGAATCATCATTTGGATTGATTTGAGCAAGGTAGGTGATTGGAATTTGTTCTTGTAGGTTCTGCCATTGTTTGGATAAATGAAAAGGAAAGAAATGATGAAAATTTCCTTTTATTTAGGAACTTCTGTTCCTGTTTGAGTGAAGAGGGGGCTGTCAAGGGAGAGTGTAGAAAATAAAAGACTGAAGTGTGTGATCAAAAGGAGACAAAAGGTAAACTACAGAATCATTGTGCTCCTTCCTTTTGCTAAATTCAGTCAAGGCTGTATTAGCCTTGATTTACTCCTTAATTGAATGATTCTTTGTAAGTTGACGATGTTATATGATGCTAAAGATAGAACATGATGTTTATTCCATTGAAATGTGATTATGGACCAACTAGTCACTTGAGTGTTTCCACGGTAAGATTAATCTTATTTTGAGAGAAATCAATGGGCTGTTATATATGTTATATGTTTAAATTCAGAATGTGATCTTGAATGACATGACATGTGAATGTGTTGGGCTGTCCTCAATGACTTGAATGTAAAATAATATGTTGTGTATTAAGCTAATACAAAGAGTTACAATATATAGAGACCCTAATGGGTTTAAGTGAGAAGCCCAGACCTAATCCAAATCCTAAATAGGAAAAAAATATTTACAAATAGGAAAGTAATCTATACAAATCTAAACCAAATCTATATATATTATATTTCCTATGCTAACACTCCCCCTCAAGCTGGTGTGTATATATTGTGAGCACCAAGCTTGTTACAAATGTATTCAACTCGAGGACCTCTAAGAGCTTTAGTGAAGACATCCGCGAGTTGATCATTAGAGCTGACAAAAGCTGTTTTGGTTTCTCCTGACTGAATCTTTTCTTGAATGAAATGACAATCAATCTCTATATATTTGGTTCTCTCATGAAATACAGGATTAGAGGATATATGTAGTGCAGCTTGATTGTCACAAATGAGTGTTATGGGTTGTTTCTGTTCACAAAGATGAAGCTTCTGAATCAACTGCTTTAACCAGATTAACTCATAGGTAGCAATTGCCATTGCACGATACTCAACTTCTGCACTAGAACGAGCAACCACAGGTTGTTTCTTACTCTTCCAAGAAATTAAGTTTCCTCCAAAGAAGACACAATAACCTGAAGTAGAGTGCCTGTCTGAGGGTGATCCTACCCAATCAGCATCTAAATAACCACAAACTTCTGTATTTTCCTGATCATAATACAATGAACCTTTTCCTGGTGCTCCTTTGATGCATTGGAGGATCCTCACGGCAACATCCCAATGAGAATCACACGGGGAGTCAAGGAACTGACTAGCCGTACTAACTGCAAAGGAAATGTCTGGCCTAGTCACAGTAAGATAGTTGAGCTTTCCAATCAACCTCCGATAATGACCGGGATCAGATAACGGCTCCCATTGTCCGGGCAATAATTTGATATTGGGATCCATGGGTGTATTAACTGGTTTACATCCCAACATACCAGTCTCTTCTAAGATATCTAAGGCATACTTTCTTTGACAGATAGAAATGCCCTGTCTAGATTGTGCCACCTCAATTCCCAAGAAGTAACGCAGCTTCCCAAGGTCCTTTGTTTGAAATTGACTGAATAAATACTATTTTAACTGATGAATTCCAGCTTGATCACTTCCAGTGAGAATGATGTCATCAACATCAACATAGACTAACAAATAGATGCACTTATCAGGTGATGTGATCCTATAAAATACAGAATGGTCAACTTTGCTGCGGATTAAGCGAAAAGCTTGAACAGCAGAACTGAAGCGATTGAACCATGCCCGAGGAGAATGCTTGAAACCATATAAGGATTTGCGAAGTCAGCACACCTTCCCAGACTCCCCCTAAGCAACAAAGCCAGGTGGTTGCTCCATGTAAACTTCTTGTAAATCACCATGAAGAAAAGCGTTTTTGATGTCAAGTTGAAGGAATGGCCAATGACGAACAGCAGTAAGAGCAAGAAACAGGTGAACTGACGCCATCTTAGCGACCGGAGAGAATGTGTCACTATAATCAAGGTCGAAGATTTGAGTAAAACCCTTTGCAACTAAGTGTGTCTTGAGACGATCAACACGGCCATCAAGTCTAACCTTGACAGTAAAGACTCAGGGACAACCAACTATAGACTTCTCTGGAGGAGCAGAAACAAGATCCCAAGTGCCATTAGAATGAAGTGCAGTCATCTCATCAAGCATCGCTTGGCGCCACCCTGGATGGGAAAGTGCTTCACCTGTGGTCTTAGGAATAAAAACAGAAGAAAGACTAGAAATAAAGGTGAAATGAGGAGTAGAAAGACGGTCATAGCTCAAAAAAGTATAAAGAGGATAAGGGTTATGAGTAGTACGTATACCTTTTCTTTGAGCAATGGGAAGAACCTCTGGTGAAGGATTCGGATGGAAAGAATCAACAAGAGGGGGCGATGAGTCAGCCAGAGTCGAGTCGACAGGAGGCACAATTCTATGACACTGATAGGTGAGAAATGGACGGTCCTCAAGTATGGAAGCAATAGATCGCTCATCTGGAATAGAGTTACCTGCAGCTGGCAAAGACAAGTCAAGAAAAGAAACAGGAAGAACATGATTAACCTGTGACAATCGAGATGGGATAGAATTAAAGGGTTGTTGATCACGAAAAGTGACATCAGCGGAAACAAAATACCGCTTAAGATCAGGAGAATAACAACGATAACCCTTTTGAAAACGAGAATAACCAAGAAAAATACACTTGAAGGCTTTGGATGTTAACTTGTCCTTACCAGGAGTGAGATCATGAACAAAACAGGTACAACCAAAGACATGTGGGGATAGAGGACAGAGAGGAGCATCTGGAAGCAACAAGTTATAAGGAATGTCATTATTAAGCACAGATGAAGGCATGTGGTTGATGAGAAAACAAGAGGCAAGAACTGCATCGGCCCAGAAGTGTAGAGGAACATGCATGTGAATAAGAAGGGTCTGTACAGTTTCAATGAGATGTCTATTTTTACGTTCGGCTACACCATTTTGTTGTGGAGTGTGAGGACAAGTAGTTTGGTGTAAAGTACCCTGTGTGGCTAAGAAATCAATAGAAACATATTCCTTAACATTATCACTACGTAAAATACGAATAGAAGCACCAAATTGAGTATGAATCTCAACAGAAATTTTTTGATAAATAGAGAATAACTCAGAACGATTTTTTATTAAATAAATCTAGGTATAACGTGAAAAATCATCAATAAAAGTAACAAAATACCGAAACCCTAAAACAGACACACTACGACTTGGACCCCAAATATCTGAATGAATAATAGAAAAAGGAGCATCAACTCGTTTATTGACTCGATTGGCAAAGGAGGAGCGTTTGTGCTTCTCTTGCTGACATGACTGACAATCTAAATTCTGAAGACCGGATAAAAGAGGAACCATCTTCTGCAATTTTGAAAGATTGGGATAACCGAGGCGACTATGGATGAGTTGGGGAGATTTTGTGAGAGAACAAGCAACCGAAGGACGAGGCACAACCAGGTAGAACAGACCCCGTGACTCATGGCCCACTCTAATCGTCTTCCCCGTACCTGGATCCTGCACAGAAACAGAATGGTCTGAGAAGGTAACAATACAATTAAGAGAGTTGATCAATTTACTAACATAAATTAAGTTATAAGGGATTTTAGGAATGTAATATACAGATGTCAAGGTCAAAGAGGAGGTTGGACATATTTGTCCAATCCTATGAACAGGGGCTTTAGTGTCATCAGCAAGAGTAAAAGAGAGTAAATTGTCAGAATAAGTAAGAGATGAAAGAGTTCCTTATTACCACAAAGGGGATCAGTAGCACCAGAGTCAAATATCCAAGGACCAAGTGATGTAGAATGAGAAACACAAGCAACATGATTATCAGTTTCTGAAGCAGAGGGCTGAGACTGAGGAGAAGCCTTCTTGAGAAGGGTCTGGAGTGCTACATAGTCTTCAGAGGAGAGAGAGACTGTACCAGTTGAAGCAGTATCCGATTGAGCTAAACTAGCATAATGAGAGAGTCGCAAGTGAGGATACTTGATGTAACAACGATCCTCATAATGATCGAGTTGCTGACAATAATGACAACGAGGTCGCCGACCACGTCCGCCTTGACCACGTCGTCCCTGGCCTCTACCACGACCACAACCACCACCTCCACCTCCAATGTTCTCGTGAAAGTCAGTACGGGAGACAAGGGCAGTGGAATCAACAACAGAAGATGCTACAGGAGAAAATTTCTTACTAAGGTTCAGAAGGCGCTGATATGTCATTGATAGATTAGGATCCCCACTAGTCAAAATAGTATCCCGGACATTATCATATTCTTCGGGAAGACCAGAAAGTGTGGCAACCATAAAGAGACGTTCCACCTGTTTCCGATATGCAGAAGCATCAGTAGGGTAGAGCAACATATCCAATTATGCATGCATCAAAGATCGACTTTTGCCAACATATGTCTCCATCTGAGTGTCAGAGGATTTGCACAGATCCATAAACTGGGACATGATGGAATAGAGCTGTTGAACATCATTAGTGTATAGGTGTTTTGCTTCCTTCCACACTTCACTGCATGTTTGAAAAGAAGAGAAAATATTCAAGACGATTGGATCAATAGACTGCCAAAGGATACTCAGAAGCTGGTTGTCAATCCTTTCCCAATCAGATTTTTCTTCCTTAGGAATATCAATAGATTTAGATGTAAGATGTTGCCCATGTCCCTGTCCAAAGAACCAAACTCGAACAGAGGTGGCCCAATTTTTGTAATTAACAGAACCCTTCAGTTTGGAAGAGGTAATGGGCCTAACATTGGTGGAGATGATATTTGAGGAACTTTTGGCAGGACGAGAGGGAGAACTGATCTCCGATTGAGCAGGAGAAGATGCTGCCATTATAATAAATCACAAGGGTACAGAACCAAGTGAATAGAAACTAACCTGATCGCAAATCAAGAAGAGGCACACAATAAAGTGAGACCCACGAAGAACCAACCACAAATCTGGAAAGAGGAGGAGAAGACGAGCTGGTCAGTCCAGGAACGGCTGGAAAAGGATGCCAGAACAGTGCACATTGGAAGGTGGCGCGTGAGCACCACGCGCAGAGAAGGCTGACGACGCGTGGAGGCTGCGACGGCGGTGGGTCTTCCACAGAACTGGTCGCCGGGGATAGAGGGACCTGATCGCAGGTGTTCTGGTTCAAAAACTCACCGGAAAAAGTCTCCGGTGGCCGGAACAGTGATGGACGGTGGTTCCGGTGGCGGTCGGAGGTGCTGACGCGTGCAGAAATCAATTTGAAGGAGCTTACAACCCTAGATGGCTTGCCGGAAGGACGCACGACAAAGAAAAGAGGACTCCTAAACAGTGGGCTTAAGTTTTAAAGCGAAAATGAGGTTTTAAGCGAAAGCGAAGGTCCCCAGAACAAAAGAGCTCTCGTACCAGCTTGAATATAAAATAATATGTTATGTATTAAGCTAATACAAAGAGTTACAATATATAGAGACCCTAATGGTCTTAAGTGAGAAGCCCAGACCTAATCTAAATCCTAAATAGGAAAAGAATATTTACAGATAGGAAAGTAATCTATACAAATCTAAACCAAATCTATACATATTATATTTCCTATTATAACATAAACATAAGTGTGCTATTTGATTTAAAATCATGGGCAACAATGGAATGTCAGGGAAAGTTAAAAGAGAAGTTATATGAATGTAATGATGGCTGTCCTTTCTATGTATGATGAATTTTCAAGAGACAAGACCTTTGGACAGCCATGAGATGATGAGAGTGAGGCTTGAATGCCTAGAATATTCCCTGGCCAGGGGACCAGATAAGGAACACCTCTTAGGAGATATCCTACTGTAAGCAAAGGCTCATGGAGGTGTATGGATAAGTTCTTGTTATAGTTATTTCCCTTATGATGTGTTTATGTGATGTTCCTTGAGAAGTTCCATGTTTTTCTAGACAATATGCCACACTAACTCTTTTGCAGAAGTCTGAATTGGTGGGGGGAATGACCCCAATAATTCTTTAGTTTGTTGGGATTTATTCTCACCCCTTACTTTGGGGCTGGTTTTGCAGGCACTAATAATGCAAAGGACAAGGCCATTGAAGGCTCAAAGTGATGGAAATGTTGTTTATAATTGCTGTGAACTTATGATGTATTGTAGTTGCTTTAGAACAGTTTTGTTTGTAACATGTACCTTCAGCCCAACTTTGTAATTATTTTGAAGACTTGATGTAATAGAGATTAAATCTATGATTAGTTGAAAAAATGTAATGGGCTGTCAAAGGGATCGATGGGTATGTTTTGGAGTTGATATAGTGAGTTTTGTATGGAAATGAGATACATATGTTGTACTTCAAAGTCTTGAGTACCCAAAGGCATCTTGATAGGCTGATTGGGAGTTTTATGTTGTGTAAAAATGATGTATCAAGGTAGTGTGAAGAGTATGGAACACTAAGTCTATACAAATATATGTGCCCGCTATAAGGACATAGAAATGTCATGAAGGAATGATGACACAAATAATTCCATAACTTGGAATTGTATGATGTATTAAAGTAGCCATAGTCATTCGGTTATTAGTTTAAAGTTGAAGTATCTAAGAGATCTTTATATAATAAAGAAAAGATGGAAGTAAAATTACTAAGTGATATCTCTATTAGAGTAAAACATTAGGAAATTGTGTAGGACCCCAATGGTAGGAATTATGGCCTTTATGTACTGATCTGAATTAGTATTACTCAAGTTCGTGTCTTCCTGCCTGTCAATTTTAGATTAGTTCTTGTAAAAATCATATCTAATTCAATTCTTAACAAAAATTTAGTGTATAGTATATCATTGTAAAGCCCCAGAAGTGTACTTTATTTATGTTCTTTATTTATGTTTAATATTTTCCTTCCCAGTTTTGCCTTAGGTGCGTCCTCCTAGAATTCGGTTCTCTAGAGTTATTGTATTTCTTATGAATAAGGGTGTGGAAAAGAACCAAAAAACTGAACTGAACTACTTTTAAAATAACCAATTTTTGATGAACTAAACCGAACTGCTTTTAGAATAACCGGTTTTTGAAAACCAATTCATGAACCGAACTGGTTTTTAAAGAACCAGTTCAAGAACTGATCCGGTTTTTAGAAACCAGTTCAAGAACCAAACCGAACTGAACCGTTTTATCTCTTTATTTTTTTAATTTTTTCTTTTCTTTTCAGAATAGGTTCAACCTGAACCGGTTTCGAATCGAACCGAATCGTTTTCGAACCGAATCGAACCGTTTAAATCAATTCGGTTCAGTTCTTCAAAGAATCTAGTTCAATTCGATCCATGCACACCCCTACTTATGACTATGAATTGGCTAGCTTAGGCTGTCGGCATGTGTACTAGTTATGGCATATGTGTGTGTTTTAAATTGCTCCAAATGATCAATAAATTATGAGGCTTAGAGGAGCTTCCATGCTTAGTGATAGCTATCGTAAAAGTCTGTTGGATGTTACTGTTCGCTGTAAGTTACACTTTTGCTTAGCTCTCCACTTTACTTGTTTTAATTTCATTTCCACTTGTCATTGATGCTGTTGTTATTATATACTATAAGGAGTAACAAATTGGGTCGACACTGGACGTTGCACTGTTTATAGAAAAGCTAATGGATCTAAAGGAGTAAACCCAAATCTTACAATACAATCGGGCTAATAATGGAAACAATCTAGCTAATAAAGGAAACAAATCAGTACAAATATTTTTCATAGTTACAACAGTCCCCTTTAAGATGAGGAATGAATGTTTATCATTCTCACTTGTTAGATAATTTTTTGAAATTTGTCGGTGGGAAGCCCTTTGATAAGAACATCAACTAGTTGACAATAAGAGGGAATATAAGGCATAGTAATTAGTCTATCGGTGGGAAGCCCTTTGATAAGAACATCAACAACTTGTTCTTTATGTTCCTCAGCTTTCCACTAATCTTATCTCCACTCAAAAGCTCATAACTAATTTGAATTGTTCCATTACATTTTTCCCTTCTCATTTTGTTATTCAGGATCTTTCCACGAGGAAGACAATTGGAGTTGCTGAGGAGCAGGGTGGGTTGTATTATCTCCTTCTAGAACATGTTACAAATGATACCAAAAATCAGCTATTGATGACACGTCATCCTTCTAATGCAGAGTCTGTGATTTGGCTCCATCACAAGCGTTTGGGGAACCCACTATTCAGTCTATTGAAGTCAATGTTTCCTTCTCTGTTTCTAAATCAGTCAGATGAGACCTTCCATTGCGATGTTTGTGAATTTGCAAAACACCATCGAGAGTCATTTCCTTCTAGTATTATCAAAAGCAGTGAACTTTTTTCTCTTATCCATTCTGATGTTTGGGGCTCTTCTAAAGTGCAGTGTTTCACGTGCAAGGTGGTTTGTTTCTTTTATTGACGATTGTACTGGGGTGACATGGATTTTCTTCATGAAAGACAAGTTTGAAGTACCAGAGATATTTATCCGATTTTATCACATGGTTGAGACTCAGTTTGGTAAGAATATTAAAAGATTAAGATCTGATAATGATACTGAGTATGTCAACCAACGTCTGTCGCAATTCATTTCAGACAGAGGTATGATTCATGAGCTCATATGTGTTGATACCCCTCAACAAAATGGGATTGCTGAAAGAAAAAATCGTCACCTCCTTGAAGTTGCTAGAGCATTACTTTTTCAGACATTTGTTCCTAGTTTTTATTGGGGAGAAGCTGTATTAGCTGCAGCCTTTTTGATCAATCGCTTACCTTCACGGGTCCTTAACAATACCCGTCTTATTCATTCCATGACTTCCTTCTTTTCTTCTGTTCCCATTTTGCAGAGTCTTCAACCACGAGTGATTGAGTGTGTTGCCTTTGTCCATGTTCATAAACAACATCGCAATAAGTTGGATCCTAAGGCTCTTAAGTGTGGCTTCCTTGGTTAGTTATGTCCCTGATAAAAAAGGCTACAAGTGTTATCTTCCACCAAGTCGAATTTTTTTTGTTTCTATGGATGTCACATTTCATGAATCTGAGTCTTATTTCCTGGGTCTTCATCTTCAGGGGGAGAGCAATTCTTCAGAAGACTCGTCCCCTCCTTCTTTGAGTTTGAATTGTCCTTGTCTACTCCTACACCTCTTCCTAGTGTGTTTGCTCCTGGTGTGCCAGAACCTTCAAATACACCCGAGATACGAAAGATTTTGACACCTGAATTGGTATTATCAAAGGAGGAAACAACCCATACTGCCTTACCAGGAACCTCAATTGTCTGAACTACTGGTAAGTCCTGAATCTCCTGTTTCTGATTCTAATATTATTGCCTCTAATGACTTGCCTATTGCTTCTGATACCTCTAATGACTTACCCATTGTCCTAAGAAAAGGAAAAATATCTTGTATCCAAAGATCTTGTCCAACTTGTACTCAGCATCCTATCTATCATTTTGTCTCTTCTACTAACCTTTCTGTGTAGCACAAAAGCTTTATTTCAGCGCTAGATTCTATCTCAATCCCAAAATCAGTACATGAAGCATTAAAAGATAAGAATTGGGCCCAAGCCGTGCAAGAGGAGATGAATGCCTTGGAGAAAAATAAAACATGGGAGGTTGTTGATAGACCTAATGGAAAGAAAACAGTAGGGTGCAGATGGATTTATGCTCTAAAGTATAATTCTAATGGTACTCTTGAGAGATATAAGGCTCGATTAGTCGCCAAAGGTTATACTCAGACCTATGACATTGATTATGAAGAAACTTTTGCCCCAGTTGCAAAGATGAATACTGTGAGAGCCTTGTTGTCCCTTGCTGCCCTTTACAACTGGGATATCAATTAATTTGATGTAAAGAATGCTTTTCTTAATGGTGAGTTAGAAGAAGAGGTTTACATGGAGACCCCACATGGTTTTGACTCTATGAATGGAGAAAATAAAGTTTGTAGGTTAAAGAAGGCCCTGTATGGATTGAAGCAGTCTCCTCGTGCCTGGTTTGGGAGGTTTACTAAGGTTATGATGACCTTAGGATACAAACAGAGTCAAGGAGATCACACACTTTTCATTAAGCACTCCCAAGATGGGAAGCTCACTGTGCTCCTTGTGTATGTCGATGACATTATTATAACAGGTGATGATATTGTGGAGAGACATGTTCTACAAGCACGACTAGCCTCTAAATTTGAAGTTAAAGACCTTGAGAGATTGAAATATTTCCTATGAATAGAAGTAGCTCATTCAAAGGAAGGAATTTTTATTAGTCAGAGGAAATATGTCCTTGATCTTCTTAAAGAAGCGGGAAAACTTGGGTGTAGACCCTCTAGTACTCCTATTGAGTCGAATCACAAGATGAGTTATGAAGAGGAGAGTCCTCTAGCTGATAAAGGACAATATCAACGGCTAGTTGGGAGACTGATATATCTGGCTCATACTAGACCAGACCTTGCTTATGCTGTTAGTATTGTGAGTCATTTTATGCATAATCCAAAGGTAAAACACATGCAGGTGGTGGAGAGAATTCTTCAGTATCTTAAAGCCACTCCTGGTAAAGGACTGTTATTCCGGCGTGATGGCAATATTTCTTTAGAAGTTTTTACTGATGCTGATTATGCTAGATCTGTAACTGATCATCGATCTACCACTGGTTATTGTATGTTTCCTTGTGGTAACCTAGTGATGTGGAGGAGTAAGAAGCAGGATGTGGTTGGCAGGTCAAGTGCAACGGCTGAATTTCGGGCTATGGCTCAAGGCATTTGTGAATTATCGTGGTTGAGAATTATACTTGATGATCTTGAAATAAGATGTGAAGGACCTATGAAGTTGCTTTGTGATAATAAGTCCGCCATTTGTATAGCTCATAATCTAGTTCAATATGATCGGACTAGGCACATTGAGATAGACTGCCATTTCATCAAAGAGAAGCTTGATAGCGGGTTGATCATCACTCCATACATTCCTTCTAGACGACAATTAGCTGATATTCTGACGAAGGGGCTTCCCTCAAAAAGGTTTCAAGAGCTTATTAGCAAGCTGAGAATGATAAATATCTATTCCTCAGCTTGAGGGGGAGAGTTGTAAATAATTGTAATTAGTTATTTATTTATTCATTCTAGAATCTTCTTTGGGCTGAGCCCATTAGGTCGTTTAGTCTCTTTAAAAAGAGAGCTCTTGTACAGTTGTAAAAACACAATTCAATAATATATTTCACTACCTTTTTCAAGTGTTACTAATAGCAAGGGGAGGATCATTTTGGGAATCATCTTGGAACTTGGGACTTTTGGGCACCTCTTGGGTGATTTGGGAGAGACTAGAGCCTCTTGAATGCTCTAGAACTATCACTGTTTTTTCTCTTCTTTCATTACTCTTAATTGTCTTTGCCATTATTGTTATAGTCTTTCCTTACTGTTTTAG